CCTGGGGAGGGGAGAAGGGCTAAAGATGGACCTCGGTCACTCGTGGTCGATGATGTAATCAATCGTGTCGATGTAAGAAAGCCCCTGTAAAAACCCAGAAGGACATGGTTCAAGGAGCTTCCCAGTTGGTGGACCTCAGAGGTGCTGGGACAGTGGCACGTCCAGAGAAGGTATAGGAGCTCAGCACTCCTTCCCACACACTTTGCCCTCTGCATCTCTTCCATCTGGCAGTTCCTGATTTATATCCTTTTATAATAAACCAGTAGTTTAGTAAGTGAAACGTTTCTTTGAGTTCTGTGAGCTGCTCTAGGAAATTAATTGAATCCGAGGAGGGGTCTTGGGAACCTCTGATTTATACCCAGTCCATCAGAAGTGCAGGTAACATTCTGGGCTTGCAACTGGTGACCAGCATCTGAAGTTGGGGATGGAGGATCTTGTAGGACAGAATCTTTAACCTCTGGAATCTGATGTGATCTCCAGGTGGGTAGTGTCAGAAGCGAGTTGAATTCTTGGATACCCTGTTGGGTATGAGAATTGTTTGCTGGTGTGGGGAACCCTCCACTCCATGTTGAAAATTGGGTCTCAGGCTACCCCCAAAAAGGAGGACAAAAACTTAAATAATTACAATAAAGTAAGACGGCATATGAGAAATAAAGAAGTGACTGAAAGTTATTGAAGGGAGTAGTAAATATGAAAACTGGAAGTTATTTATGCTTGGAGGTAATATGATCGTATTTGTAAATTATAAAGCAAATTTCTCTTATTGCAGATGAAAAATGACTTACAAAGAAGCAATGGAAGAGGGCCAATCAGAAAGCTAGTGGATACTATCCAATAAGTCATAGATAATGATGGACAAGGGGATGGAGGAACATGGCAAATTCAATTCATACTGAGGTCGTATAAGTACCTCCCAGGTATTTCTTGACTTAAGAAAGTTAAGAAGGTGATAAGAAAAATACAGGTTCTAGATTGAGTGACTGGGTTAATGGTGATGTCATTTGCTAAGACAGGAACCCTGGAAGGAGAACAGGTTTGGGGCAATGTTTGAAGATGCTGAGCTCAATTCCCAACAAGTTCAGTTTTAGTTATAACACTGTTAGATACAAAATAAAGCACAATGTCTGACCTTAAGGGCTCAGAATACAGGAGAAAAATAATTCCCACATTATTATAATTCAGCATAATAAAAAGCTAAGTAGATATATGAAGAATGTTGAATTAGTCAGGATAGGCGAAGTAACATTGTGGTGATGAATAAACACCAAAGCTCAGTGACTTAGCCAGCACAAGTTTATATCGTGCTTATATGAACTCTAATGCAGGTTCAAAGGACTTTCCAGAGCAGCTCCTTTCAAGTGGTGTATTTAGGCCACTTCCATCTTGTGGTTCTGCCACCTCATCACAAGACCTTCACAGTTGCCAATAGCAGAAGAAAGAGTTGGAAGGTCATGCACCAAGTCTTAAGTGCTTTGGATCAGAAGTGGCACATCTCACTTTCACTCACAGCTCTTCAACCAGAAGAAGTCACATGGCCTTACCTCATTAGAAGGGAGCTGGGAAACTTGGGGCATCGAAAGACTAGTCAGTGAGAAGCAAGAGTTTCTGCCATCGCCATGAAATGAGAGAAATTAATTATACAGGAGAGCTGAGGAATCCTTCACAGGGAGGGCACTTTTATGCTGGGATCTGAAGGCAGTCCAAGAGTTGGCCTTGTGATGAATACAGAGGAAGGACTCTGCAGGTTAAGGGAACATATCGTGTGAGGACATCGAAGCATGAAAGAGCTCAAGAAGTCAGAGATATCTGAGGAATAGTAAGAAGACATTTGCAGCTTGAGTAGAGGGTTTCAGGGAAATAGAAGAAAATAAGGTGATTATAAAAATCAGGGAGGGCATAGATATCATATTAATGAGGTTGTATTCTGATCTGTAGACGAGTATGAGAGCAATCATTGGCTTTTAGACAAATAAGTGACTTAATCAGATTGGTGATGAAAAAAGACCAGAAAGAGGAGAGACTGGAGGCAGGAAAACCATCTAGGAGATTGTCGTTGAGTCCAAGAGAGATGTGAAGAGGCTCAACCTCGCAAGAGGCAGTGGAGAGATATCTACTTACAGGATCAAATGGGCAGGACTTGGAAAACCATTGACATGTGAGGGGGAGGGAGAAGGAGCTGTGGAAAATAAATCTGAAGTTTCCAGTATGGTCAGTTTAATGGATGGTAAAGCCATGAACAGAGGGAGGAGAAACAGTCACTGGAACAGATTTAAGAGCACGAATAACTGTTTCTACAGTTAGAAATTCAAGGCTCCAGGATCATCTTTTGTTGGAATCTGTTTACCAAAAACTAATCTATAACCGTGTTGTAATAATATTTTTCTTAAAAAAAAAAAAAAAATCCTTGCCTACGGAAACACTGAAGGAGTAGATTTTGTTATTGGCTAAAACAACCCCTCGCTTCTTTGAGTTTTAGCCCGGTTTCTATTGCCGACTAGATCCAACGAGCTGGGAGCATGGAAGCATCTGGAGCAGCCACACTTCCTTACTCAAGCCAAAACAAGTTAACTCATCTGTGGCTTATCTCATATCCGCCCTGTAGATCTCCTGGGAGGATATAGCCCTTATTACTAAAATAATGTGTAAAAAACAAAAATAGCATGGAAAGAAGGTCTGAACATGATCTTTATAATTGCTTTTCAAAATAACTTAAATAAAGTTAACAAAACTACATTTATGTTTAGATATTGCTTGGTTTTGATAAAGTAGCTTTGTTATAAGTTTTTTTTTGTATTCTTGTGTGCATTGGTTTCAATTTGGGGGAATCTTTTTTGTAATAAGAAAAGAAACTCTTAGATTCTGTTTTTTCCTCTATTGACTGACTTAATAACTTGTGGTAAGCCACTTGACCTTTTGACATTAAGCCCTTGATCATGAAGCAGTATAATAATGTTTAACTCTCCTATGAGAATATCATTGGGATTTCTTCAACTGAAGTCTTAGAAACACTGTTGTGCCCTTAAGTGAAATGTATTCATAAATACTAAGTATGAATAATTACTGCTATTTATTTTGAATATAATCATTTATTTAGTCCTTATATTTAGACAAATAAGTAACTTTTTTTAACTGAAGATAAAAAGATAAATAATATATGGCTCTTACCTTCAAGGAATTCCCCATTTTACTAGAGAAGATAAACAATAAGATCAAAAGTCAACATAAAGAAGTACAATTTTATGCATGGTCAAGTGAATTATTAAAAAAAAAAATCAACAGAAAAGTTACCTCATCCGGCTATTCCAAAAAAACTTCAAGAATCTTGGTTGACTCTTTTTTCAACTAATAATAATTTATAATAATTTTCAAAGCTTCCCCTTGATGGCAAGTTGTTTGAAGGAAGTCATATTTTTCAACTTAGCATCTTATTTATCTTAAGGATGTGGTTAAGAGAGTCAGCCTGGATGTGCACGACCTGTACTCAGTTCCTGATGTGTGACCTGGATCAAGCTTCCGAGCCACTTAATGCCTACAGTTTCTTCATCTGTAAAATGGAGTGGCTGAGAACTAAACAAGTTATACACGCAAAGTACTTAATAGTGATTGGCACTTATTAAGCATTCAGTAAGTGCTAGTTATTAATATTATTATTGTTAGTTAGACCTCAGCACGTTTTGCATATACTAGATACATTAAATTATCAGGCATTTAGGCATAATCCAGAATGGAAAAAGGATCCACTTAACTGTCATTGTTACTGATAAAGACGAATACAAAATCGGGAAAGAATTCACCTTATAGAGAAAGGAGGAGTTTATGAATGATTACTAAGAGATAAAAACCAAGCGTGGACCATGAAGAAGTTCTGCAGAAGAGGAAAGGAATAATGTCTTTAGCATGTCATGGGAGCAGAGACAATGACAGTCTTATAGCCTGGACACCTACCTAATGCCTAGCATGTAGTAGATTCTCCATGAGTATCTGTTGACCAATAATCCAATGGCGGGGTGGAGTGGGGAAAATGTAATTCTGAAAATCATCTAGATCATTATTCAGAAGAAAATTTCCATTGTTTTCACCTCCTCCATAAAATGCAAAAAGACTCATCTTCTATGAAACAGTATCAGAAAACTACAATGAAAAAGGATGGGACATTGCAGACCAAGCACCAATGATGAAACGTAAATTACCACCTGTGATGATGACTTTGAAGGCAAGGCCTCAGCCGATGTCATGTCTGAGTAGGTCTTAAGAAGGAAATGGAAGTGGGTACACAAGGAGTTAAAACTGTCAGACTGTCGGGCAGGCTGGCTGCTTCTGTATGTGCTGATTTATATTGTCCAAAGTCTGGACAGAGAATATGTGTGGTAATAAATTCTAAGGCTGTTAGATCAGGAGGCAGGAATATAACTTTAGATTGGGCTGAATTTATCAATTGGCACGTATCCATGAGAGATTCTGGATTCGGTGAGCTAATTCAAGCAGCTGAGAATAATTCCGTTAGCTTTAACAGTGTTCTATTCTGAGTTAAGTTGAGATAATAAACTCCCTGGTATTACGTGAAACAATGATTCTCATCCCTATTAGAGACCGAACGCCCCCCTTTTCTGAAAATTTCATTTGAGAATACCCCCGTAATTCTCAAATGAAATTCATAGTTAATATAACCTACTTATATATATTATTTTTAAATCAACATAATATTCTAACTGTAACATAAAGACATGAAAGGAAAGTAGTATAATTTCAATGAATGAGTGCTCAGGCACAACTCTGCTACGAGATACAGCAAAGCAGTCACGTGTCCCCATCTGTGTGCAGAATCACCTTGACCACAACAGCCCGAATGCAGACTGATACAGATGTGTCATTTTGAAGGCAAAAGTTCACGAGCGGTATTAGTCACTGGTATGATTTTTCGAAAATATTAAACGAGTATTGGTAAAGTTCTGAACGAAACAACATAGAACTTAATTTCATGGTCAAATTGCAAAAGAGGCTGGGAAATATAGTTTTTATTTTGGGTAGCCATGTGGTCCGGTAAAGAAACTCAATTGTATAAAAAAAAGAGAGAAAGAGAGAGAGAGAGAGAGAAAACATGCCGGGGACAACTGTGCCCATCAGTGCCCAGTGCTGTAGAACTCAGCGCGGAGACCTTGGAATGGCACACGGCAGGCGTCCAACGCTGGGCATTCTCCACTGTGCTAAAAGGAAAGGAAACATTTATTCTGAAAATGGATTCCCTTCACTACTTACCATGCTTCTGCCAGCAATACTACCTGTGGGTTTACTAAATATCTTAATCCCCATCATGGTATCTCGTACAACACTGCTTCTGTCCAAAAAATTCATTTTCTGGCGAAAGAAGCAAGACAATGGACTGATATAATTGAGATATGCTTATCTCATTCAGCACGTACTGATGTCCCCACAGCAGCTGAGCTGATAGGACAGTGAGAAGACTGTTTATTTCCCAGCTGAAAGACATCGCCTTGTGAGCTTATGGCATGTGCTCCTCAAAAGTGGTCAGTGTATGATGTGGTTCCCGCCCCACAGCCAGAGCACATGCTCTCCCAGAACCAAAGAAATGGGCATGGTACCTCTGATTACACCTAATGACTCACTCGCTGGGCTCCGCCGGTTTGGAAGTCTTCGCTCCTGAGAGAAATGGTTCCATGGTGGTCCCACTGACTGGGTCCTTGAGAGACCAACCTGGCAACTTTGGCCTCTTCTCACCACTGGACAATAAGCAAACAGGGGAGTCACTCTATTAGCTGATGTGACTGATCATGATTACCACACATTGAGCCAGAGAAGAGTATGTTTAGAACTCAGAGAACCCTCTGGAACACCTCCTAGTTCTGCCATGTCTAGTGCTAAAACTTCATGGGAAACCAAGCAGCCCACTACGAGCAGGACTGCCAGAGTTTCAGACACTTCAAGAACAAAGGTTTCAGTCACCAGGTGAAAGCCTGCGTCAGCCGATGGGCCGACTGAGGTCGAAAAGACCATAGAATGAGGTTTGAAAGTACAATAAAATCCTCCCTTAACACGATAGTTTCTAGGAAACAGAATCTAAGCCTATTATTCACCACATTAATAGATCAAAGTTAAATAAAAGTGATCATCTCAAAAAGTGACAAAAAAAGAATTTAATGAAAATTCCACATCTATAAACACCCTTAGTAAGCTAGGCATATATCATGATAAAAATGATCTATGAGACTCTATGGCAAACATCATACTTAATTGTGAAACATTCACTGAATCCCATGCAAGCCAGGAAAAATCGAAGATCGATAGTATCAACATTGTACTGGAGGTGTTAACCACTGCAATAAGCTAAAAAAAAAAGTGAAGTATAAACTTTGAAATAAGGTAGACAAACGGTCGTTATTTGTAGCGATATGTACCAATAATAGCTTACAAAATGCAATGAAAAAAATAAATAAACAGTGGCAAAACAAATAAACACATGAAAATCTGTATCGATCCAAAGATTAAATCTATTTAGGCATGAGCAAGACCCAAATGAAGAAAACTGTAAAATTTTACTCAAAGCCAAAAAAAAAGCAATGATGCCTGGAGAGCTGGACTGATTGTTATGAGGATGTTCCTTCGAAACAGGGACCTGTCAATTCGTCCCATCAGAGGACATTTAGTTTGCTTCCCATGTTTTATCTGTCTTGTGAACATCTGGAATAATCCACTACCAGTCTGATGATCTTCCTTGATAGATAAGTATTTTTACTTCTTGAAGTATATAAAATTTCTTTATCTTTGAAATTTGTAAATTTTATCAGATCGTATCTAGGTGTACATCTCTTTTCCAATGATCCTGACTGCATATACATTTATAAATTTCTTTTCGTTATTTCTTTATGTTTACTCTTTTTCTTTTTTTTCCGCAACTCATTTTTTATTCCAAAAAAAAATTACACTATTTACATCAACCTCTGTGTGTTTATCTTTTATCTAATAATTTCCATTGGCCTTTTTGTTTTCTATTATGGAATAACTGACCAAGACCTAATTCACACATTTAATTTTCCATAATTTGGTGCCCATTCAGTTGTAATCTATCTTAACTTGGTTTGTTTAAAATATATTTCTCTTTCTCATTCTCAGATTGTTTCCTGAGAGCAGGAGCAGAGCCTGTGGCTACACAGACTGAACTCCCTGGAGCGAGTCCCCAAGCGGACTTCTTCTTTGTCAGTGGACAGGCCCGGTATTTCGCTGGGGGGCATACCTGTAAAGAGGCTTCCACCTGGGTGGGGAGACTAATAAGTAATCGTGGACCAGCCAGTTCTCCTAGTGAGCCAAAAGAATGAGTTAAAGCCATTCTCCCTGCCTCTCCCAGGTTGCTGCTCCTTTTTCTTGCTTCTGTTAGCTCAGTGAAAATTCCTTGAGTCTAGAGATATGTAGGTGGGATAGGCTTTTATTTTCCAGGGTTAGGCAAATATATCCATTTTATATTTGCCAGACTATTTTGGTAGATGTTTGGAAGGGAAGGTCATTAAATGCATGTGCTTATGTTACTATTTTCACTTCATCCCAGGAAGAATTTGCATATCACATGGTGTTAATTGGAAAGGTTAAAAAAGGAGGTGCAATTAGAAGAAAAGAGTATCTATAATCTATTTTTACTTTTGTTTTTGTTAAAGTATATCATACACACTATAATGTGCACAAAATCGTAAGTATATAGCCTGATTCGTTTTTTACAACGTGAACACAACTACGCAACCACCAGCTGGGAGAAGAGGCCTTTAAGAGGCCTGGCTGTTTCTTCTGCTGCTCTGGGAATTGAGCCATCAGGTTGACAGAAGCTCAGGTTAGACTCCTGAATGATGAGCCACCGCGCAGAGAGAAGTGGCCACACGGAGGAGCACAGAAGAGCCAGGTGGAGAGTGAAGCTTTTTTGGAACTTCTAGCCCAACTTCTAGTTGAGTGTAGCTAAGTGACCCCAGCTTTGGCTGCCTGAAGCACGAAAGCTGTCCAGTGGAGTTCAGCCTGAATTCCTGACCCAGAGAATTGTGAGAGCTGTATTCCTTCATTCTGCAAACCTATTATTTTGATATCACCTCAAACTTAAGAGAAAGGTTGCAAATATACTACAAAGGACTTTTTCCTAAGTCATTTGAGACTCAAATTGCTGCCTTGATGCCCTAGCACTAGGAATACTTTATGAATTCATAACCATAATACAACCATAAACTCAGGAAATTAACACTTAGGATCTCCTTTATAGGAAACAGATTCAATCCAGAACCACCTGTTACATTTACTTGTGATGTCTCCTGAGACTCCTTCAGTACCAAACAGTTCTTTAGTCTTTCCTTGATTTTTATGATCTTGATATTTTTGAGAATTATTGGCAAGTTAGTTTACAGAATGTCCTTCAACTTGGATTTGTCTGAGATTTCCTTAGTACTCCTTTTCTCTTTGTCATTAATAAGTATTTTATAAAGTGATACTTTGAAACCATGTAAAGTTTCGCCAAACCTTCAATTTATTCATTTATGTTAGTGTAGAGTCATGGATTCATATCCTATTACAGGCACTATCTTGTTGTTCACATAGTACCCACTTTGGCCAATGGGAATGCTCTTCAAATTGACTTCTGTCTCCTTCTGATATGTACCCATCATCTTTTGAGTATTACCTTTCTGTCTGGAGCAATAAAATATTGCAGGCTTGTCTTTTACTTTCCCTGTACTAACTCTGGAACCAGCCATTTTTATTCCTTTTTATTTCATTCCTTTTAGTGAAGAATGGTATTCAGACGCCAACTTCTGAATAGTTGGTGCGCTCATTGCTATTGGGAGTGTTGCTACTCTAGACCAGAATTAGGGAATGTGTGTGTCTTATGTCTATATTTATTTTCATATCCATCTACAACACTGAAATCCATGAGTTCACACCAATATTTCTAATTCCAATCCAAAACAAAATGCTCATTCTAGTTTTCTCCCTTTCCTTGTCTATAACCCCCTTCCCCAAAATACGAGGAAGCTGGCACCCATTATCATTAATATATGTTGTATTTATGTCTCATTATTTGTATTTTATGTATTGTGTTTTTATGTATTATTTCCCATTGCCTCTGTCGCATGCTTAACTTGTTCAGTGACT